TGCTGATAAAAGATAAAAAGAGAGAAACGAATTCACAGAGCCGTAGCAAGGCTGCAAATTGGGTATTATAACGAGCTTTAGGAGAAAATGGTCTAAGAAAGGTGGGAAACAAACGGCCGCCGACGCTTAAGCACCTTACCGCGTAAAGAGTTTTGCCATAGAAGCAGTGGTTATCATTGAGCTGAGCCTCGGCGGCCTCATCACTACCATGCCCGCTAACTTATCCTAACAATCGACTTAGGCACTCGACCATCAATTCGAAAAGTTTGCGGGCTTAAGGTAAGGATTAACCTAATTTCGTTCTCTGTAACTGTTTTTGGCCCTACAGCTGCTATGTCTCTCTGCAGTGAGATGGGGCGCCTGAGAGCGTGAATCGCAAATACTTGCAGCTTTCCACGCTCTGAAGAAGGCGAAGAAACGTCAGCGAATGAAAGTTGATATTAAATTAACGCTCAAAAAAGGCGCTAATCTAAGATTACGGTATTTTGCATCCTTTAATCCAATTTCGTGCTACGAACGGTATCCTCAATGTTGATAATCCGCTCTATTCGACAGAAACGCAATCTATTATTGCGTGGTTTCCACAGATAGACTTCTTCTGTTTTGAGTGTGGAAAAGGAGTTATGTGCCAAAATGTCTGACTATGCAGAATTCTGGAGTTAAACGTTGGTTATGCTAGCAATTAGATTTAATGCAGTGGATGTGGACAATTTCTTCTGGCTGCCCCACATAACTTAGAAAATCCGTATGGTTACCGTAATAAACGATTGTCTTAGGTCAATTTGAATTTAGACGTCGCCGCAAGTTAAGTCGAAATGAGGGTGAAAGCAGCACTTCTACCGAGGTAGCGATAAGCCTTGAAAACTGGAAAAAACACAAGCCGAAAAAAATCTTCTTTTGCCAGGAAGGGACCAAAGATCTGAGTACGATCATTGCTGATAATAAATCTGAAATAGAACCAGCTTTCTTTGCGCGTTTTTTCCCCTAAAATTTTTTACAGTTTCTCTCTGCTCACTGATCAGAATCAAAATATATGATAGTACAGTACCGTCGCTGTCGCCGTTAAAAAAGACGTATTAAACGCGAAGTCGCGTCGGAAGCGCCG